GCCCCGCCCTCCCTCCGCCGCCACCGCCTCGTCGTCGCCGCCGAGCGCATCTTCCGAATCGAGGCCGCCGCCGGCCCGCCGCCGCCGCTGCCGCAGCGCGTGCTGCTGGCTCCCGAGCAGCGCGAGGTACTCCTGCACAAACGTGCCCCCCAGGGAGTGCCCGACCAGCACTGGCGGCGGCCCCGGCAGCGACGCCACGAACGCGGCGACGTCGGCCACGTTGACCGCGAGCGGCACGCCGCCGCGTGCCGCGGCGACGCGGGAGATGCCGCGGCCGAGGCGGCTGGCGCCCTGGCCGCGGAGGGAGAGGGCGTAGCAGTCGTAGCCGGCGGAGGAGAGGGCCGGCATGAGCGCCTCGTCGAAGCACCAGGCGCCGCGGAAGAGGCCGTGAATGAACACCAGCGGGGGCCTGCGCGGCGGGGTGGGGTGTGGCGGAGGAAGGGGGTGAGAGGTGTGCTGACGGGGCGCGCGCGTCTGGGGCGGGTGTGGTGTGGCTGAGCGCCGCAGGAGGGGTGACGTCAGCCGCGGGCGCGTGATGACGCGAGCCTTCAGCCAGGGGCACGACACGCGGCGCCCTGCCCCGAAACAAGGAGGCTTGTCGCGACCGCGGCTGCGGGCGCGCCCGCACCTCTCAACGGCGACGGCACCGGGGCCGCCGGCGGCCGCGTCGTCGCCCTGCGGGACACCCTGCCGCCGGATGACCTCCAACAGCGTGCCGTCCGGCGCCGCCCAAGCGAAGCGCTCGGCGCCGCGGTGCAGCGGCAGCACGGGCGGCAGCAGGCTGCTGGTTTCCTCGTCCTCCGCCTCGTCAGCGGGTTTGGATTGGGAACCGATGCCCACGGCTGCGGCTGGCGCGCCGGGCCGCGCTGATGGGCGGCGGTTGTCGTCGTCGCCGGCGCCGGCCAGGAGCGATTCAAACGCCTGGGCGTCTGCGCCTGCTCGCAAGGGCTGCGGCGCCGGAGCGCGCGCATGACGCGATCCGCGGGCGCTCACGGGGGCGGGGCCCCATGCGCCCGGGGCGGCGGCGGCGGCGGCGGCGGCGGCGGCGGCGCGTTCGTGGACGGGGGCGCAGCGGCAACGCCGCATGAAGTGAGCCCCATGCAGAGTGCGTGGCACGGCTGCCTCCGCCACGTGGGTTTTATACGTCTGTAGAGGTTGCCATGCGCGCATGAGAGAGCGTTGGTGATGCGCTCGGCATGCAATGTGCGCAAACTATCAGTGGCCAACCCGCGGCCCCTGGCTCGGTGTGACCCTTTTGCTCGCCTGGCACTTCATTTGTAATCCTGACATCTTCTGTCGACCACTCCCGCTGACCGCTGCTGCCGCGTCCTGCTTTGCCACACCAGCGACTCGCAGCACGAGGTCAAAGCAGCACACGCTAACCGAAGCTACTTAACGTGCTAGAGAAAACAAATCAACTAAAACTTGGCGGCGAATTGGAGCAACATGAATGTGTCTACACACCGTTTGACCGGTTTGTGCAGGTGATGCAAATCCGATCTCGGCACTCGGTGACTGCGACGCATGCAATGAGCAAGTGGAAGGCTCTTGCTCACGACAAGTGCGACACATTGAAGGTCCTTGAATTTCTATGAGGTGCTTGGGCCTCTGAAACCGTTCCTGCACCAATCCCCCCACGACCTTGTGCCGTGGAAGTCCACGGCAACCCTGCCCGCCAGTGGCGACCTCGCAATCAGCGTGGGAACTCTGAACCCTTAGTGCGCCTCGCAGGCTAATGCAGACCGCTGCAGCAGATTGCTCCCACGGGGTCGCTCGGGGCCCTCGCCTGCCAGCACGCGGCCCTCTCGCCAGGCCCGCAAATCTCAGCCATGTGAGGCACCCGACGGGCACCACCCGCGCCCTGCCGATGGAGGTCCTCGACGCCGACGTGGCGGGCGCGGCCCTCCAGCTGCTGCACCACTCGCCGCTCATGACGCCCGTGGCGTCGCCCTGCTCCCTCATGAACTGCGGGGACGTGGTGCACCGCAGGTGAGGGGCCCTTCCGCTCACTTAGATCGCGCCTGATCGGGGGCAGCAGCCGAGTGGCCACACGGCCGGTTGACCGCGGCGGCCGGAGCGCACGCGCGGCGCGAGGCACACCAGTGCGCGCGCGCCGACGCCGCTGCGGCTATTTTTTTGGACGCGTGATCGCGGCCCCCGAATCCTGGCTGTACTCGTGAGCATGACACGAGCGATCACGTGCGTGCGTGCCCGCCCTCGCAGCACCCTGGACCCCATCCTGCGCAAGGAGGTGGGCGGCCCCAGCTGGCAGGCGTTTGCACTCCTGGCGGCCGCGGGCGTCTACCTCGCAGCCACCCCCGGTGAGCACACGCACACACACACACACACACACACACACACACACACACACACACACACACACACACACACACACACACGCGCGCGGCGGCGGTCCCACGCCTCTGCGCAGGGACAGGTCCCGCGAGGCGGCCACGCTTGAGCGCAAATGGGCCCCCCTCGCGGCTGCATCCTGACTGCCCGTCTGCCCGCGCCGCCCCGTGTGGCACCCCAGACCCCTCGAAACGCTTCCGCCCCCGGCCCCAGGCGTCCTGGCGGGGTGGTATGATCTGTATGTGGCCTCCAAGCTGTCGTCACAGAAGCAGCGCGCCATTGACAAGGTGGGCGCTGGCATGGCGCATGGCGCATGGCGCATGGCGCATGGGGCATGGGGTATGCCGCATGCGCGCGTTGTGTGAAGCGCGTGGCGCGTGGCGCAGCCGGCGGGTGGCGTGCGTCGCGTGGAGTCCTGCACCATGCGCGCGCGCTCCGGCTGAGGCGGCTGCTCGGCGCCTGGCGCGCGCGTGTGCATCACCGCCGTCTTGTCAGCCAGGGTGGAGAGGGGCGCAGCGGCACGGCAGCAGGCCGCGGAGGGTCCCTCTCAGCTCTCGAGCAGCGGCCGGCTGCAGCTGCGCTCCCATGCGC